AGAATCACTCACGGCGCATGGTGACGGAGAAGCTACTGCAGTACGCTTTTCCTGCTTCTCACAAACTGCCATTCTTTGCTTTTGAATACTGTGAGCAGTACCCAGAAAATGGCTGGACTGTTTATGAGCCTATTGCCGAGTTGAAGAGACAGGTGAGTGTAAGGGAGAGAGATGTTGTCCACTTTTTATATTGATTGGTAATAATAGTTATTTCTAGGTTGAAATGCTTGATGAATATTTTTGTATTCTTTTATGTTTACTGCAGTTAATGGTACTTATTTGATATCTTGATTTTTTTTTTTTTTTTTTTTTTATCATTATTACTATCATTATTATTATTATTATTATTATTAACCTTTTCTGAAATTACCCACAGGTTAATCATAATAATTCCTTCTAATTAGGTCAGTTAGACAGACAGAAGCTTTGATATTCCTATAATTATTGGATCATTATTTACAAAACCAGTCCCTTCTAGCATGCTCTTAACAATTGATACATGCAATGCAGGGTCTGCCCAATGAATCTTGGCGTATCACAAGAATAAATGAGGACTATGAGCTCTGTGAGACGTACCCTGCTGTGTGGGCAGTGCCAGCAGCCGCCTCAGACACAGACCTGCGCAATGTGGCAGCCTTCAGAAGCAGAGGAAGAATCCCGGTATGTTTGTACCTGAGAGAAGATGCTGTGATATACAACATGTAATATAATGTAAAAAAAATTGCCCTTGGAGAGTAGGTTAGGTTACCCTGTCATAGGAAGATGCCAGATTTTTTCTTCCTCTCTTCTTTTCTTTAATCTTGTTCCTTTCATGTTTTTGTACAAGCATTTCAGGTAAAGTCTCGGTATCATCTTCCTTTCTCTTTCTGAAGGTCCTGAGTTGGATTCACCCTGAGAGCCAGGCCACCATCACCAGATGTGCTCAGCCCCTGGTGGGTGTGAGCGGGAAACGCAGCCGTGACGACGAAGCTTACATTCAGCACATTATGGATGCCAATGCACAGAGTCACAAGATCTTTATCATGGATGCAAGACCAAGGTGAGCGGATTCAGAATTAAAGTATGTGTGAATGTGTATATGTACTCTTCCTGTAATTTTTTAAACTATCTTTTTACTTATGGATAATTTTAAACTGATTTTAGTTTTGAAGAACTGATCATGAGAGGATCTATATTGAACCCCTGAAGGTCACAAATCTTGCCCCCACCCACAGTTTTTTTAACTTATGTATCAAAGGCTTCATGTCACACAACAGAAAATGTATTTTCATTTATGTTTTAAATATATAGCAAAGTTAACCCAATGCCAGCTGGTATGGCATATACATACATGCCATGCCCACTGTGAGCTACACTTGTTCTAATTCACCAATGAGCCAATTACAAGTACTGTCTGTCTCACCTGTTTACCTTTTTCCCTGATTTTTAAAAATATTTTACATCATCTTATATTGCTGTTATTAATGTTAAAAACATTATAGTAATTATAATGTCTATAATAAAAATAATACTATTGATATTCATAGCATTAGTAAAAAAAATTTATTCCCACCAATTCAAGGAAAAGAGAAATCAGGTTAAGGTTAAGCTAATTGACTCCTTTGTGGCTAAGCACTTGGAGAGACATTTCACAAGAAAGTTAAAAATGAGGACAGCATTTTCCTGGCAGCATTGAATTAAAGATCGTTACTTAAAGATAGTGTGAAAATACAGGGTCCTACTTGTACATAAAAAATGATAAGAGTATATTACTTATAGAATATAATATTACAAGCATTGAAATATGTAACTAATCAAAGGACAAGAAAAACAGATGGAGTGGAGAAGAGGCAAGCATATTCTGTCATAAGAACCAAGATCCAGGATAAAGAAGTAGGGTAGGGAAAGGTGCTGATGGACCAATCATGTCAGAATGTACCAGAGCCATAGGCTTTGTCTCATGCACAACAAAACTTGTCATTTGTTATGCATTACATGTCTAGAGCCAAGTGGGAGCGAATGGCAACGGGGAGGAAGGGGAGGGCTGGTAGGGTGGGTGTGATTGGCCCACAGGTTAGACACCACATTTACAAGTACACTCTCACCACTTCTCATCCATGCTAAAAAAAATAGATGCAGGAAAACACCCTGTCAGTTTTCAAATTCATACGTGATTGTACATCTAAAATGTACTGTGCCACTGTAATTTCTTTGTATTTCCCTTTACCTTCTTCCTTCTTTCTCTTTTTTCGTTTTTCTTTATTCATGACCACATCTTTTTCCCTAACAGTGTAAATGCTGTTGCCAATAAGGCCCGAGGTGGAGGCTATGAAAGTGAAGACGCTTACCAGAATGCTGAAGTCCAGTTCCTTGACATTCATAATATTCATGTCATGAGAGAATCCCTCCGCAAGCTGCAGGGTAAGCTGAGAAGAGAGTTGGTGTCGTTATCTGCATGTTGTACATTGTACTGTGAGTTGGGGGGGAGGGGGGGGAGTGACTAAGGTTTAACCCATTGGCTTGTGCATAAGAGAGTCCATGGATTAAGTTTCTTTAAGTGGCTATTCCTCTGGTTCTCTGGGTTTGTGTGTCTGTGGCTTGTGGGCCCAACCCACGCAAACACTTATGCATAAGATCAAGACTCTGTGCCTCCTCTTTGCAATGCTGTTAGTGCTTTTCTGTGGAGGCATTTTTGCTGTATTGCCATTTTCTGAGGACTATGGCAGTAGTAATAAGTAGTACTGTGTTGTATTTTTATATTATCATATTCACTTCTCCAAAATACACCTTGTACTACTAGTAGTGGTGGGCAGGAGTAGGTTAGTGTGCATAGATGTACTGTTTGCCATGGACACAATCCTCTCTCAAACATGCCTTATGGATGGCACATCCAACCCTCATAGACTGGTAATCCTGCAGGAGATCCCTTTCCTGAAGGCTCTCTGAGGCAGTCTCTCTCCAAGAACTTTGTGCACTCATAACAAAATGTCCCCATGAGCTTGCCACTTGGCAATATGTTCCCACCACCTGCCCCTCTGCCATTTTTTTTTACACAACAAAACATCCCTGTCACATTTATTGATGTGGATAAGATGTCTACATAACAGGATCCAATGGTTTATGGAGATCTTACATAATATTTTTCATCATTCCAGAGGTGTGCTACCCACACATTGACAATGCCCACTGGCTAAGTAATCTTGAGGCAACACACTGGCTGGACCACATCAGGTGTGTTTTGAGTGGAGCCCTTAGGATTGCAGACAAAGTCGAAAGCCACAAGACCAGTGTTGTCGTCCACTGTTCTGATGGATGGGATCGTACGGCTCAGGTGAGATTCAGAGGGGTTTCTTGCAATATCAGACACTTATTTGTATTTACATAACAGTTCATCAATTCATTCCTTATAAAATACCTCTCTTAATCAATAGGTCTTTTTTCTTTTCTTCAGTTGACAGCTTTGGCCATGCTGATGCTTGATGGATACTACCGCACCATTCCAGGCTTTGCCGTCCTTATTGAGAAGGAGTGGCTCAGTTTCGGCCACAAGTTTGCCCAGGTCAGAATTTATCTTTTTCTTGGTTGTTTTAGATTTAATAATCTTGCATCATATTTTAATTATTTGATGGCAAAATTTAATCTTGTATATATTTACTCCTTTTGCCTTCTTGTTACAAATTATGCCAATATAAAAGCAACAGTCACACAAATTCCTCCTCCCTATCTTCACTGTGCAGCGCATTGGGCATGGAGATGACCGGCATCAGGATGAGGATCGATCACCAGTCTTTCTGCAGTTTGTGGACTGTGTATGTCAGGTGATGAAGCAGTTCCCGCATGCATTCCAATTCACAGAGGATTTGCTCATCACTGTCTTGGATCACTTGTATTCCTGTCTATTCGGGACTTTCCTTTATAACAGGTAAGAGATGATAAGTCTTTTTCATCCTTATTTTCCATCTTTTTCCATTTCTCCCTCCACTTTGCTCTTCATTATCTTCTTTGCATTCCTTTTCCTCTTTTCATCTTTTTCCATCTTTGGTAAAACAAAAAAAAAAAGAGTATATAGTAGAACAACACAGATTAGCACCCATCAATTTTTTCTGCCTCTGTGTCCCTCTCTATTCTCCCCCTTTTCTTTCCCCCAACAGTGAGAGAGAGCGAATGGAAAAGGAAGTCAAGACCAAGACGGTGTCGCTGTGGTCACTCATCCTCAGCAACCCCTCAGACTTCGAGAACCCCCTGTACAACCCCGCCACCCGCCACCATGTTCTCTTTCCCCTCACTTCAATGCGCCACCTGTGCCTTTGGGATAAGTACTACTGCCGCTGGAACCCTTCCATGCGCCCACAGGTACAAGATGATGTTTTTTTTTTTTTTTCATAAATGAACAACTTAGCCATAAATAAAGCCATAGGTGCATGTAAACCCAGTGTCTAGGAAGGTTCTTGATTAGCCAGTCATGATTTAGACTGGCATTTATTAGTATGTCAGATGTATGATGCATGTTGAAGATAATTATCTTTCATGGAGTCATATTTTTTGCTCCAAATACAGTCATCTGGGTTTTTAAAACCTTTAGCAACAAGTACTCAGATGTAGAAAAAGCATGAATGAGAATGAATATCTTCACAGTGTAGATGTATTTGGCCAGTCTTGATTATATCTTCATCAGAAATGTGTGTATCTCCAACAAAGATATAACTAAAACCTGTTAAATATATCTCTTGTACTGTGAAGATATTCAATCTTATTCACACCTTTTCTGTGATTGTTACAATAAACACTGTTCATGGACTCTAATATATTGTGTTTAAGCCTATCTGAAGCCTTCTTCCCCTCCCTCCCCTCCCCTCGTGAACCCCTCAGAGAATGTTCAAATAGTCCAGATGTAAACACAGGTGTGCTTGTGCCTATGTTTTTGTAAAGGATTCCATTGATTTTTTTATATTATTATTGTCTTAGAGGACCAGATAACGTTGATATATATACAGTATATAATATATAAATATATATGACAG